GTAACCAGATACATGTAATATTTTGTCGGTCATGACGAAGATAGTGCACGGTTTTTGGGTGTGCTTGTTGGAGTAGAAATTGTTTCGTAGAACTGCGTGCTACTTATTGTGGCGAAGCCACCAACCACAGATGAAGCCATTTTTATCAGTAGTATTGGCAGTAAAAAGGAGTGATCGTCTGAAGACGAGTATTTCACCGCGGTTTCCAGCCACTACTAACCTTCTATAGTTTGTATTCTCCGTGCAGCTCTAAACATCGCTTACAATATCAACTCGATGTTTTCGCAAGTTCATCTGAATTCTCTAACACTGGGTTCTTCCCCTGAGGGTTTCCCATAATAGCTGATCCAGCATCAGAACCGAAATAATGACTTTTGCTTCATGAGAACTGTTGGTTTAAAGATTTGGGAAAGAGAGCGCTCCATGTCTTAGCAGCGAAATACAAGCCACACCATAAAACTGGACCCTGGAACACCATCAGAACTGGGAATGGGTTTGTATTCGTCGGGGACCATGGAAATGTTTCTCACTTGGTCCCACTTAAGATACGTGTCCCTGTAAACAAATGACTAAATTATTCCGTCTTTCTTCACTAAATACATTTACCACCCAATTATGAACTTCGGTACATTTCTCCAGGCTCAAAATTGATTACGAAATTCGGATTCGAGCACAAACCCTTGAGCAGAACTGAAATTGTCTCAAAACAAAGTTTACAGAGCTTGTGCCAAGGCGCAACGCAAATCAGCTGACACACGCCACCATTCCCATCATTACATTAAAAACATCGGGAACAGCTTGAACAGTTAGTCATTCTTTTGCTTCCCAGAACCATCAAACAATAAGTCAGAAAGTTCTTTTAGGATGAGAAACAATAGTGGACGGTTTTTGGGTGTGTTTGTTAGAGTAGAAATTGTTTCGTAGAACTGCGTGCTACTTATTGTGGCGAAGCCACCAACCACAGATGAAGCCATTTTTATCAGTAGTATTGGCAGTAAAAAGGAGTGATCGTCTGAAGACGAGTATTTCACCGCGGTTTCCAGCCACTACTAACCTTCTATAGTTTGTATTCTCCGTGCAGCTCTAAACATCGCTTACAATATCAACTCGATGTTTTCGCAAGTTCATCTGAATTCTCTAACACTGGGTTCTTCCCTTGATGCTTTCCCATAATAGCTAATCCAGCATCAGAACCGAAATAATGATTTTGCTTCATGAGAACTGTTGGTTTAAAGATTTGGGAAAGAGAGCGCCCCATGTCTTAGCAGCGAAATACAAGCCACACCATAAAACTGCACCCTGGAACACCATCAGAACTGGGAATGGGTTTGTATTCGTCGGGGACCATGGAAACCTTTCTCACTTGGGCTCACTTAAGATACGTGTCCCTGTAAATAAATGGCTAAATTATTCCGTTTTTCTTTACTAAATAGATTTATCACCCATTTATAAACTTCGGTACATTTCCCCAGGCTCAAAATTGATTACGAAATTCGGATTCGAGCACAAATCCTTGAGCAGAACTGAAACTGTCTTAAAACAAAGTTTACAGAGCTTGTGCCAAGGCGCAACGCAAATCAGCTGACACACGCCACCATTCCCATCATTACATTAAAAACATCGGGAACAGCTTGAACAGTTAGTCATTCTTTTGCTTCCCAGAACCATCAAACAATAAGTCAGAAAGTTCTTTTAGGATGAGAAACACCATCTAGAAATATGTTCAAATATGTTTCATAGTGTAAATCAGCATTCCGTTTTTTTGTTGACAGACCAGCAGATCATACTGGTTCATGGAGAGGAGTCCATAACAGGCCCTACAAAAATCCCACCGTTAAAACACGAGTCTACTAATTTCGAGAAACGAAATGGTTGACCATACACCTTTTCCGGTGTAGAACATAGATAACTATCACAATGATTTCACCCTCCAACCTTACTTCTCTATTCCAAACATTGCAGGGATTTGGGAATACCCCAGTGGGATTTGGCACACTGACGGACTCTGTAGAGTTCAACCAGTTGGAAGTAACGGCGATCTGAACTTAACCGATAAAGGACCATTGCTTTTAAAGGAAATAGGTCCCCAAAGGTTACTTAATGAACACTGAGTAAGCTAACGTTAAATTGGCATCATTCCCCAGCTCTTTTAGCCAGGAAGACTGACCAAATGATTGAACTCTTCGTTTCGTCATTCGTCTCCAGAAAATACCATGCAATAAAATCCTGATGGTGAAATCTTCTGAATGTTTTGATGCACGTCATGGTTGTCCATTCAGTTATAGACAACTCCGTGAATAATTTCATGCGTCAAAGAAGCTGCAGACTTTGTGCGAAATGTCGGTAACCACTGGGAGGCATAAGTCCAGCGCTGCCAACCAGAGACTAACTGTAATCACTTCGGTCTGCACGTGCGTGACTTATTGGACCTTATATTACTCATTCAAAATCTCCTTATAATCAGCGACCTGAATTCAGTTGGCTCACTTGCAGTCACATTTGAAGATGTTGGTCCAACCTTATTGTAAAACAGCATTGTGTTCTTTGGTGGCACTGGTTTTTTCTCCACCATGTTAGACACAACGCCTTAAATTGCAGCGCTCCAAGAAACACATCATACGACGAAGTTAAAATTTCAGCCAGAATTTTTTGCCCGGAGCACAAATTAACTGGCCGCCACTAGAAGTGGTACCATGGTGCGTGTGTGTGTCATCTTCGAAATGATCTGTTGTATGTACGAGTGTTGTACACGAGTGTCTGGTTTGTCATGGCAGTATTCCAGAATCGACATCTCCAACATTAAACAGTATTATCTAATTGTTCTCTTCTATGCATGAAAGCTGTTTCCGTGTGCCGAAATCAAAAGAGAACTGCATGTTATTAGCCACCAGAGCTACCGAAATAATCGGATATATAGTAAGGACAAAACTGTTAAAGCAGTAGTATTTCTTAGGATGACGAAGAGGCCCCAGTGTGCTCCCGTGTGAGGATTGATGTTTGTGAATCTGTGATGCAAGTTTTCTTTGTGCGAACAAAGACTCTAAACACGAGTCAACCAATATCATCAGACGCCCAGTTGAGAAAGCTGCTGGTACTAATGCTTGAAATGAGCTTCGATACCTATGTGAGTGACTATGGAACACAGTAGAAACAGTTGGAAGAAAGCACAAAAACATCAGGTTACTATGCGAACCAGTTAATAAATTCATGAGTTAACTTATACAATCCGACAGTAAACAGTCATTAAGGCATAGACAGCTCCAGACGATTTTTCCCACGTACGACAACGACCATTCTAACGGTATCATTAAAAAAATGATATAAAATAATGAAAACAAAAAGCTGTTCTCATCACAGAGCCTTTCAAAGGGAAACTAAATGGCCAATGGAGCAAATACTCTTAAGCGTTTCGCAGTGACTTTGGCAGTATTTAAAATAATACCAAAAATGATAAGAAAATCCAACTTAGATTAACTAAAATCCTTGGTTACCTCTTGGTGGACATACTGTATTGAACACACTTATCATAGCAGATATGTCGTCAGCAGTAGTTATCTAAAGGGACTTCTGAGGACCAAAACCCATTTGGAAATTATTGGTCTGAAACTTCCGCCCGGTGGAACCACTCACCAAATTCAACCAAGAACAGTCATTCATAGTCGTAAGCAGTCAAAATAACATCAATATACTTCACTTTCCCAAAAACACAGGTGACTCCAGGATACAAACCCAAATTGTGCAGAAAAAAACTTGAAACTGTGGCTGGCCCTGCCCTTCCTTGGCTTAGGATGGCCCCGGATCACGTTCAAAGCCTTGATGCTTTAATCCCACCAGATATTGATTTTCATGAGGCTATCCCGTTTTGATGCTTCTTCTTGCTCTCATGCTCGGTTTACGACCATTAACCGGATGCTTCTCTACATAAGAACCAAGCACAGATGAACAGTGTGTCTGAGCTTGTCACGTTCTTCGTAGGTCAGGTGCTCGAGCGCCGTATCGCACCAATTTCGCCAAAGCTCGCTGTAATATTTAGAATCCGAAAAGTAGCCCCGTGACCTGTACAACGAGTCAAGATTAAAAATGGGGTCTTGTTACCCCATGCTACCTGGGAAATCGGAATATCGGCAAGCCCGCTGACCTGTCTCAGTCACTTACCCATTATAAATCCTAACACGCTAATCGTCTGCAGACCATGTACTTTAAGTACCCTTGTGAACTCCATTGTTCACCTCAGAAAACCGAAATCCAACGGCTTCAGAATTGCTGAGTTTGCGTTGTGGTTAGGAGATGCCCTAATCTCTCATGAGCACAAGTTTCATCCTAATAACGGGCACGAAAAGGGACAACGTTCGACCAGCAAAACGTTTCTTAAAATAAACAGGAAAATCGACAAACATGGAGAACTACTAATCAACAAGAGCGACAGCTAAGGCAATCACATGATCACCGCCTGAATCATCCGAAAAACCGGGCGTTTCAAATCTTATTACAGTTCGTCCTAACAAGTCAGTGAAAATAGCGGTGTGTTTGCACAAATTTGATTGCAGAAACAATTGGCTCAATTAACAAGAGCGTCAACGCTTGGTATGGTTAAACATATCTAGATCATTCCAAGGCAAGCCAGATAATCGGATGCACCGTGATTTATATGACCACCGAAAATGTGTGTGATCACTGTTGGATACCAACAATAAAACTGCCACTGACGACCGATGATAAGGTAACGACCACTGTTGCCCGTTTTCTGAAGGATCTGAGTCCAGAGGACAAAAAATCCAGGAATTTACCGTGAGAACTATGCGGGAAATGGCTAGTGGCATTCAGGTCGATTTTGAGGCTGGGGGTCCAGTGGCATGGAGAAGGCTCAATCTAGACATATGTGGATATACTTCAAAAGTTCCTGGAGGAAACACCAGCTAAAGGCAATCTCTAATCACAGCGCGATAGAAATGAGAAGCGCTTAGCTACCGCTTAGTGATTATTAACGATGAAATAGGGCAATGTTACAAAGCACAGGTATACCTGCTGCTGCTGCAACGATCGGGCACCCTCCTGTTGCTGGAGTGAAGTATGCCTCCGATTCGGATAAGCTACTGAATCTCGTACGTCCGAAGAGAGCTGGGGGCTGCATGAGAGCCGAAATTACAGAAGATGCCTGCGAAATGCTTGGTCTTCCCGTCGCCCAACATGGTCCCACACAGACCAACTTTCTAATGGTTAAAAAACGTCTGAAAGTAGTGGTTGTTGTCCAGTTGTGCGCCATGACTTAGGTCAGCTGAGCTGAAAACAAAGCAAAGATACTTATGGTACATACCAAAACACCACTGTTCCAACATGTTCAATAATCGATCCAAACAATCCAGATATAATATATGTAATAGTTTTCCCCGGGTAATCTGATGCAAGACATTAGTAACCCGTTTCTCGTCACTAACCGTGACTACCTAGTTGGCACATGTTGGCGGAACGCTGACATTCAACGGTTAACTTACCCTACTGGTGAGCCGAATGCGCGGAAGGAAAATTTTACTACATCAAGAACGATTAGGTCGTAGCCGCCCTGGGCAACCGACATTAACGTGGTCTGGAAACATCCCAAAGACACCCTGTCAGAGCAAATGCGAATGCATCTGTTTGATGCTCCCACGCTTTTGTTCAACGTAGAACTTAGGAGGTTCTTGCTTTGAAATCGAGAACGGAAATAGCACACGTTAGCCAGGGAAGATTATGACTAGCATGGAAGAATCTTCAACAGTTACATCCGACTGAGAATCCGAGTGAAAGTAAAGCTTTCAAAAATGAAAGGTCAACAGATACCATACCCAAACCTTTAGGCGAATCAGGACGAACTCAATGATAACGTTGCTCGAAATTGAAAATGGAGGGGCAAATTCGACTGAAGAAAAGCTCTTCTCTTTGCAGTGCAAGATTCCTCCACATACACTACGCGATAGGATCCGATAACTTCCCTGTCTAAATTGACTGTTTGTCTGTTTCAACTACTTCCCACTATAACATTGGATGTCAAGGTTGATTAACAAGCCTTGAACCACAGGCAAGTCGATGAGCTTGTCTGAGATGGACCTTTTTCGTCCGCCTCCAAGGTATGCTATCTTCGTGTTTTGTGATTATTGTCAAAGTCCCGAAAAGTTTCGTCTTTGGTCCTTTCCTCATCTTGTTCTGTCTCAATAGCTTAATACACAAAGTGTGCATATTGGGTTGACCCTAACCGCGTGTAGTTACTGACTGGGGAAGCTATCGATCCGAATGATATAACGTCCGTATCAGAAAGTTATTTCCTACGCTTCATCCGGTGATAGCGCAAGCGGACACAAATTTTCAGGGAGTAAGCTGAGACATTACAATGCCGTCAGCGTACAGAAGCGTTGCTAACACTTGGAATTCCTTAGCCAGCTATGTAACGGAAGATAATTTGGACTATGCGTTTAAAATCAAAGTAGACCAACGGATGTTGGTTAGTACTGACCAGTCGAAGCACTCGCCAGGGTATGTGGTGTGCGTCTCAGACGGAAGTTCTCTGCATATCTCCAAACGAGTGCCGGTTGGTTAAAAAACACAACTGTATTGTTTAACACGTTATGGATTTACCTTTGAGAAATAGGCGAAGTTATATCCGCCTGTCGCATGAATAGCGTGATTAAAATACACACCGTCCTCACCGCCCGGATTCACTACCCACGGTGACCCACTGGGAACTCGTAGACTTGACCTAGAATAGTCTGTCGGGCTAACACTACGAGTGTACTGTGCACTACTCTACTTTTGACTTGACACTGCCTTGAGGAAGCGATTCAAAATGATAGACGATTCGTCTGCGTGTTTCACGAGAATATCCCCAAGTCTGTTGATTGAGTTCCCTGTCAAGTTTGTCTTCATCCTGTCCGAGTGCATTTTATTCATCCTGTGGATCAACTGCTCTTTGCCGAAACGCTGAGCGCTCAGACTACTAGTCGGGAAGCTTCATCTTGCCGAGTGCATTTTATTCATCCTGTTGATCAACTGCTCTTTGCCGAAACGCTGAGCGCTCAGACTACTAGTCGGGAAGTCGCCTGGATGGAACTGCTCGGAGTTTCGTGCGATGCGTAATGCTGATGCCTCACAATAAGGCTGAGACAGTTGCGCAGTGCTTCTCTGTTTTCCAGCATAGTTTGACTTCAATTACAGAAAACCTTACCAGTTTATTTTCCCCAACTTTCGCTTTCTGATGTCCCAGGCGAGTCACCACATCTGGTATTCTGGCCGCGATACCGTGCAGTAGCTTTCTAAACGAATCAGCCTTCAAAGCCTCATTCGACTCTTAAAGAGAAAAATGGAAAATCTGTCCACCTCCTGACCAAACTGAAGATGCGCGTTTTTAAGGGATCCATTAATCATCGCCGTCAAACATCTACTTCCAGCTATCATTTTCACACCAAATGCTATTCAGAGTATTCAAAGGTGAGCTAAAAATACACGCAAAAGCTATTAGGTTCTTTGTACTACGGGTAATGTTGGCCATAAAACTGTCGGTATACTTGAAACAAGCCACTAAGTTCACTTCTTACTTGAATAAGTGTGAAGGTATTCCTCTGCTTGTTTGGGTACATGTCAGAGTGCAATGTGACCTCTTCCGACCGGGAATATATATGACCTTCAATCTGGATTGTCGACAATTTTCAGTCCCCGTTTTGATTGTCAGTTGTAGTCCCTTGGAATTTGGACAGCCGAACAAGTACTGGTTGTTAAGTTTTCCAGTGATTTTTTCGTCACGCACTACTAGTCAAACAAGCGCCTGTGGTGAGTGACATCACAAGTTATCAAAAATGTCAATGTCAAAAATCCGTTCCACTTACCTATTCCCTTGAACTGCATAATGAATGAGATACTGCACAACGTGTTGCTCATCATTTGTTGATCCCGACCAGTTTTCTCTCCTCACTTTCTCGCGGAGGTGTCGTGAACCTCAATATTACTGGTAAAATCACACCCTCATTAGACTTGTGAAAGCTGTCATTTGCTAGCTATCCGGCGAACTTTCGGATGAATACTCTTCCAAGTTTATATCCCCGTCCTACTGTCTTCTCCTCGTAATTCTTCTCAAGAAGTTCACTCTCAAGGTTTTTTTATTTGTGGCTGCACGAAGTGGTCGACCGACCAACTAGAAACGATATTCAAAGTGGTCACTTTATCTAGTCAGCAAAGCTCTATCCGATCAAACACTTGTGCCCCATGTATCCTTCTGATATCCACCTTGATTATGTTTTTTTTCCAAACACTTGGCCCCATGTATCCTTCTGATATCCACCTTGATTATGTTTTTTTTCGGTATCTAATAACGTTCCATCGCTGTCCAGTAATGGGTACTAAACTTGTGCTTCCAAGCCACCACAAAACGAAAGGCCTGTTTACTCAACTCTACGTATATCCTTGATGACTGGGCTTTTGCGTCCCCTTCCTCATCTACGTAGTCTCTCATCTAATCTTACAACCAGTAGTGCACGGAGAAAAGTTAATCTTCTCATATCTTGGGTGGCTATGACAAACAAATTTGCGGTAGCGACCTTGGCCAAGCCTTGAACGAAGTCCTCAGATGGAAAAATTGCATCAACTAACAAAACAAACGTCTCAAAATAGATGTTTGAAACTGCAATAGTTTCTGACACTATAAAAAAAACCTCAAAGTACATGGTTTTTTCGACTTGGATGCAGTGGATTTATTTACTTCGGCTTCCGTTGAATTTTAAATAATTTAGAGAAACATGTTTCCGACAGTCCACGACCGGTTTCGTCCTTCTTGGGACTCATCAAGTAGACTCAGTCCCCGAGTTTCCGTCCACCTTATGAGTAGTGTACTACGTCTATATATGTATCGCGATATCTCGGATATCGTAACAACTGAAACAGAGGCGGCCTGTTGAAGCACATTCAGTTGCCTGGAGACATCACAAACAAGAGATTCAGCTGGGTTCCAGGTGAGTCTCTCGAAAAACCAAACTTGTTTGCAAATGAGTGTATTCTGTTCCCGGTTTTAGTGTTTGTGCCTGGTGTCGTGCCAGCTAAAGCACGAAGCGACCTTGCGCAGCACTGCCCGTTTAAGAGAATCTCACAAACGAAATATTTGGATAGATTAAACCGAGTTTCTAACGAAAATCAGATCAGTTTAAAAATTGGACTAAGTGGTAGATTCGTCCAATTTGGGGTTGAAATGAACCATAGATTTGACGGGAAATCGGGGATTTTGATCCCAAAAACTCAAAAGCCTGTCGTGGGCTGGCAACTTTATTCGTGATATGTGGATTTCCAGGTGTTACCTTTATAATGGATATTGATCTGCTTAGACTACCAGCATTGTCAGACCAACATTGATGACGGGATTGCAACATTTACACAAATTTGCCTGTTGGACCGTTCCTTTTACTCTCAAGATAGTGGTATACGTTTGTATCCGTGGGTCAAGCTTTGTCAACATAGAAGAGAAGGACTACTCTTCCGTAGATGAAATAACTGTGAGACCGAATGACTGCATGACGGTCACGATAACATGGAACACCAGTAGCCTTCAAGTATATTCAACTAGGGTGGATTTGATAAAGGCTTTTACTAATGCATAAATACCATTAATGTGGCACCAAATGAGTGACAAATTTACGGGCCAAATGAGCGAGTTTCTGGTTCCTCTGGATGACTCTGCAGGAGGAAATCCCAGAAAGGCTCCTGTTATAATCCAAATCATTCTGCAGTCATGTTGCTGTGCAAAAACCACATTGGAGTTTCTTCTCTACGGTGATTTTTTTTATTTGTGGCTGCACGAAGTGGTCGACCGACCAACTAGAAACGATATTCAAAGTGGTCACTTTATCTAGTCAGCAAAGCTCTATCCGATCAAACACTTGTGCCCCATGTATCCTTCTGATATCCACCTTGATTATGTTTTTTTTTCGGTATCTAATAACGTTCCATCGCTGTCCAGTAATGCGTACTAAACTTGTGCTTCCAAGCCACCACAAAACGAAAGGCCTGTTTACTCAACTCTACGTATATCCTTGATGACTGGGCTTTTGCGTCCCCTTCCTCATCTACGTAGTCTCTCATCTAATCTTACAACCAGTAGTGCACGGAGAAAAGTTAATCTTCTCATATCTTGGGTGGCTATGACAAACAAATTTGCGGTAGCGGCCTTGGCCAAGCCGTGAAGGTTTAAACGAAGTCCTCAGATGGAAAAATTGCATCAACTAACAAAACAAACGGCTCAAGATAGATTTTTGGAACT